GCATGTGGAGGAATGGGGACTCAAACCCAATCAAACCCACGCTCCTAACCACTACACCAAACTGTCTCCAGGTGAACTCTATGGCATTATACTCCACACAGTCTCTCCCCTCCCCAAACCCCGCCCTCCTCAGACTCCACCCCCAAAATCTCAAGATATTTCCCAACTCGGACCTGGCGACCCTATGCCTGTCACCCCAGGAAGTGTCCCTCCCGCCATTTTTAAATCCACCTGTCCTGCTAGTCTTCTTAGCCCTGGGACAACAGCAGCTCAAAGTGTGAAAACTTCCTTACGCTGCTACAGTAGAGAAGCAACGGAGCAAGGAGTCCGGGAAGGCAGGCCCTTCTCTCCTTCTTGCAGTGTACTCCCCAAAATCAGAACTGCGATCCTGAATCTAACCTCTCCTTGCTAGGGGCTCAAACTCGAGTACGGCGGGGTAAGAAGTGAATCAGGTCCAGGGTTTGGCTGGGCAGCATCTTCAAACATCTCACAGCTTATGACATTTGAAATGTAAAACGCTGAATATAAATGTATCCCAACAGAAGTAAGTGTCATTGTATTTTATAGACAGTGTCCCAAAAATGTTTTCAGTGTAACGAAGGAGGTGTTGGGGAGAAATATTTTCTGTCTCTTAACACTTTGTTATATATAATTATCTTTGATATATACAATTGTATTATGCAATCCTTTCCCCCCCTTTCTGTATTTCCTTTATATTATCTCTTTGTTTGGTGTAGCGGTTAAGTGCGCGGACTCTAATCTGGGAGAACCAGGTTTGATTCCCCACTTCTCCACTTGCAGCTGCTGGATGACCTTGGGCAAGCCATAGTTCTGTCAGAGCAGTTCTTGAAAAAGCAGTTCTCTCAGAGCGCTCTCAGCCCCACCCACCTCACAGGGTGTCTGCGGTGGGGAGGGGAAGGGAAAGGAGTTTGTAAGCCGCTCTGAGACTCCTTTGGGTAGTGAAGGGCGGGGTATAAATCCAATCTCTTCTTCTTCTTCTTTTACCTCACAGGGTGTCTGTTGTGGGGAGGGGAAGGGAAAGGAGTTTGTAAGCCGCTCTGAGACTCCTTTGGGTAGTGAAGGGCGGGGCATAAATCCAATCTCTTCTTCTTCTTCTTTTACCTCAGGGTGTCTGTGGTGGGGAGGGGAAGGGAAAGGAGATTGTCAGCTGCTCTGAGACGCCTTTGGGTAGTGTAGGGTGGGGTAATCCAATCACTTCTTCTTCTTCTTTTACCTCACAGGGTGTCTGTTGTGGGGAGGGGAAGGGAAAGGAGTTTGTAAACCGCTCTGAGACTCCTTTGGGTAGTGAAGGGTGGGGTATAAACCCAATCTCTTCCTCTTCTTCTTCTCTAAAATTATATATACGTACACACACACAAAAATATACATAAGAAAAAACAAAGCAAAACAAAACAAATCCAGTGGCCACCTCTGGCATCCACCCAATGTTTGAAGAATCTGCCCTCTATTCTTCAAAAACGGTGCAGACCATGGAATATAATAATACGCTCTCTTCTTCTTCTGGCAATTTCTGGCGTGACCCAAAAGTTATGTTATAGTATCCAGGGGTGTGTGTGTGAGACGCTTAGCACTTACCCAGAGCGTCACCCCCGGCGTAATGATGTCACTTCCGGGTTGCGCCGGAAGTTGCATCGCTGCAACAGGGCTGACCACTGTATCCCCCCTCCACCTGTAAATTTCTGCCTCCCCCATCTTCCACCAGTTGGGCCTTGAGATGACTGAGTGTTAATTAAAACTAATGCAAATGGCCCTGACCTGGATAGCCCTGGCTAGCCCGATCTCGTCAGATCTCGGAAGCTAAGCAGGGTCAGCCCTGTTTAATACTTGGATGGGAGACCTCCAAAGAATACCAGGGTCGGGAGGCAGAGGAAGGCTATCAAGCCACTTCTCTGAACATCCTCCATGCCCCAGAGGTTGCCATGACTTCCAGACATGGGCACACATGCGCGCGCGCACGCACACACACACACAAATACAAAAATACCCCCAAAAAACAAATGAAAAATGTAGTGCCCATTAAAATGTCATAATCGTTCAAATATGCATAAAGCCAATGCAAATCAAAGTAAAAACACCATTGCCAGAGTTCAGAGAGCAACGTGGGAACAGCTCCTGGAACAGGAAGAGAAGTCATATAGAGAAGAAGAAGAGATTGGATTTACACCCCGCCCGTCACTACCCGAAGGAGTCTCAGAGCCACTTACAAACTCCTTTCCCTCCCTCTCCCCACAACAGACACCCTGTGAGGTAGAAGAAGACGATATTGGATTTATACCCCGCCCTTCACTACCCAAAGGTGTCTCAGAGCGGCTTACAAACTCCTTTCCCTTCCCCTCCCCACAACAGACACCCTGTGAGGTAAAA